CGGCGTGGCCGCCGGAGCGGCAGATGGGAGCGAGAGGATGCCGCGGATGCTGCGGTGCTCGGTGTGGTACGGGGCGCGCTGCGTCTCTGGAAGCAGCCGCCCTTCGGAGTCGAGACCGCCTTGCAGCAGATACAGTTGGCCTCGCACTGGTCACCGCGCCGCTCGGGCTCGGCGGGTCGGCGGCGCAGAGCGTGGAGGCGCGCGGGGAAAACATAATATTAGGGGAACAAAAAGTGACATAAACATGAAAACTCGGGGGTCCGCGCGGATTTCTCGGATCCGCGCTGGGGCCCCCCCGGCGGCGCCTGCGGCGCCGCCACCGGCGCGCTCCGCGCGCCAGGGAGGGGGGTCCAGCGCCGATCCGAGAAATCCGCGCGGACCCCCGAGTTTTTATGCTTATGCCATTTTTTGTTCCCCTAAGGATACACTGGTGCAGATTCGTTGCGCCCTGGGGCGGGGCGCAGCTATAGTCTGCCCGTGCGGATTTCGACGGACCGCTGGGGGGTCCTGCACCTGTGGCCGCGCTCTTGTCCTCGCGTGGGCTAGGGCCCAGGCAAGAAAGTTTGGAAGAGGAGGAGGAGGAGGAGGAGGAGGAAGAGGAGGAGGCGGAGGAGGAGGACGACGACGACGACGACGAGGAGGAGGAGAAGGAGGAGGGAGGAGGAGGAGGAGGAGGAGGAGAGGAGGAGGAGGAGGAGGAGGAGGAGGAGGGAGGAGGAAGAGGAGGAGGAGGAGGAGGAGGAGGAGGAGGAGGAGGACGACGAGGAGGAGGAGGAGGAGGAGGGGGAGGAGGAGGAGGGGAGGAGGAGGAACCGTTGCCAACTTGGGGTGGGGCCCGTGGGGACTCACGGCGGGCGGCGGCAGGGCGCCCGCGCCACACGGCGGCGCAGGGGTAAGGACCCCGACACATCCCCCGCCGCGTCGGCGGCCCCTCCTGGTGGGCGCCCGCGCCAGGCGCCAGGTGGCTGCAGACCCAGACCTCCTCGAGTCATGACAAAAATCACGACGGGAGGTTTTTCGCTATTTTCGGCCTCTGAGGGCCCTTACCGGGCCTCGGGACCGTCAAAAAACGACTCGGGATGAAAAACCGGTCCCGGGGAATGGGCCTGGACCGCTGGGGGTCGCGCCATGAAAAAATTATGACGTCGGGGGTCTGGGGACGGCCAAGCGGCCCGAGCCAGCTTGGCATCGCAGGGCGCGGCGGGAGAGAGCTGCAGCCAGGACGGTCCGGCGAGCTGCGGCATCCCAGACCCTGCTGAACCAGCACCACGCCAGCACGTCGCAGAAAGGTGGATCCAAGGGTGCTGGCGAACGCGTCTGGAAAGGTCATGGAGCTCATGCAGGGTGGAAATGTTTTGCTTGTGGTGCGCGCAGTGGATCGGAAGACATTGGATGTCGTGGGAGGGATTGTGGTATATATCGTATCGGCAATATAGCCAGAGGTTGCATGATGAGTCTTCCAAGATGTAGGAGAGTGGCCAGCTGAATGAGGACGCCAAGGTGTGCATCCAGGAACGTATGACGTGTACAACCGAGTGCGCCATCGACGGCAGTATTTACATACCGCCCCCCCCGGGGGCGATGGAGCGATTGCACGGCAAATAGATGAGATTCACTCGAGGCTGAACACGCTGGCGGAGATTGTTGTTAATGGGAAGGAAACACGGTTTTTCAGCAGAGAGAATCGGCGGTCTTGACGCTCATGTTGTGGCAGCTGAAAACACCCGCGGTAAGGGAGAAGGAAGCGACGGACGGCCTTTTCAGAGCAAGTGCGAAGCTAGACCCTCCCAGGAAACAAGCGTCGGCGATTGAGATGGACATAGTATTTGGAAACGCAGACAATCAATTATTGGAAGGAGTTGTTGAGCGAAGTGAAGACGGGATCGGACCTGTCACCGCCGTGCTATAGGGATGTTGGTCATGACAGGAGGAAGGCCTTGGCGCTGGCGATTCCAGCGCAAGAGGAGAGCGACGAAGATGACGAATCTCCACCACCGCCCCCCCCTCCGCCCCCACCTCTTCCACCTGCTGCACCAGTGGACAGGACAGGGAGGGCCGCCGACGATGTCGAGAGTTTCGCGCCGATTGTAGGTGGTCGGTAGATTCGATGCCATTCTTCGTCAGACATTGCGAAGGTGACAGTTGTGAAAGGGGGTGCCAGTCACTTGGGCAAGCAGAACACGAACCAGGATGCTGCGAGACCGTTTCGCCAGCCTCGCCAGCGAGCTCATCTGCAGGTGCAGATGTTTGATGGAGGATGGTCGACGAGTGTGGCGGGCAACTGCGGGAGAAGGAGATTAGAGACATCCTTTCTACGCGTGGGATAAGGCCGGCTGCAGGTTTTGGGGCGCCGTTTTCGCCGCCGCCGCCGCCTGCCATATCCCCAGCGGCGTCGATGCAAAGCAGCCCGGGCGAGGTGGCCATGAAGGATGTGAGCGAGGTAAGGGGGGAGTTGAAGCGCGGGCAGTGGGTGCGGACTCAGGGGCGGCTGCTGCAGCGCGCAGCTACGGGCTGGAGATGCAGCAGCCGAGACAGGCGATGGATAATCAGATCACGCAGTGGAAGTGCATGGCGGCCCTGGAGGTCACCGCGGCGGAGTTGAAGGCAGGAGACCAGCTGGAAGGGAAAGCGGCCCTTATGAAGCGCGAGGGGTGCGAGATGGGGGCCCAGGAGAAGAGGGTGATGAGGATGAAGGGGTGGGGGGGTGGGGGGAAGTGCAGCGTGCTCTAGGCCAGCGTGAGAAAGAGCAGGTCGAGAAGCAGAAGGGGCCGATGCGACGGCGCGAACTGACGCACCAACATCAATCGCAGCAGATGATCGTGAAGCAAATGGGCGACTATGAACAGATGGAGAAGGCTAAGGCGGACACCATCGCTTACCTTGGAGTGCCAGAAGAAGGCTCGCGATCGGGAGTTTCAGCTCAAGTGGGTGGAGCTGGTAGAACATCGCACTGGGATGGAAGCTGAACGCGCTCGCGTGGTGAAGGAAGCGCGTCAGGCTGAGGCTCGTAACAAGCTGCGCTTGGAGGAGATCGCGAGCTTCAGGAAGTCCATGGAAGTTGGCGCAGTGGATTATGGCCCGCGCAGAAACAGAAGTACGCGGCGGCGCCCGAGCCATGCGAAGCACGAGGTATCTCCTCCATGCCTGTTGGCAGCAATGAGCAGGGAGGAAGCCGTTGTCCAGCAGGAGCTTGCAAGGAGGACCGAACGGGATGAGATCGACAGGATGGAATTCGACGGGTACTTGGAAGATTTGACACCGCCAAAAAACCAGAACGCCAATATCTGCATCGCCGCCAATTGGGCGCGCGAAGGCGGTGGGGGACATGCTGGAGAGCGAGGGGCAGGCGGAAGGGCCAGACGCGATGGAAGAGGAGAGGGACAGATTTGAGTTCGAGAGTTGGTTACGGCAGCGGCATATGGAAGATGCTTTTATTGCGGCTAATGCCCGGCAAACATCGAGGGCTCCACCTGCGCTGATTGGAGGTGCAGAGATTCCCCGGCCCCGTAGTCAAGCACTCGACCAAGCCGAACGGGACGTTGGAGGTATCCATGGGCCGGAGCCAAATCTGGCTGTCGGCGGATGGACTTCAGGCTCATCAGTTCGAGGTGTCCAACTTGCCGGGTCCGGACGGGCAGGTCCGTTTGACCGCGCTCGACAAAGCAGCGGGCGTGCAGCGGGCGTCAGCTCGAATGACGCGACTACTGCAGCCCAGCTCTTTGATCAGGAAGCGGAAGCAGACTTGGAGGCGATCATAGAGTCACGCTTGGAGCACTTGGGGCGGGTGGTCAACATTGCAATGGCCCCTTGACCATTATGCGCACCTAGCTGTTTTCTCCAAGGCTTGACCATCTGACCTCTTGGCTCCCGCCCTGCTGCACCACTCCACGAGTGCCTCTGGTGTGGGCTGTCGTGCGGCGTCTTCGGCGGCTTCCAATTATGGGAGTGGTGCATAAGGGGTTTGGGGGCCTCCCTAGGCCGACGCTCTATGACCCTTTTTTTTCCCCTTTCTGACGGACTGACCGCCCTTGGGTTGGCGACCCGTCTGACGGTCAAGGGCGGCGATCCGTGAGACCAGCCAGAGATAGCATCAGCGGCCCTCACGGTACCCTCACGAGGGTACGGGGTCCAAGGCGTCTCTTTTTTTCCATTTGTGTGATCCTATTGTCTGTTCCTTTGTTTCCCCCCCCCCCCCCCTCCAGTGTCTCATGCCCCCCATGTTGCACTAGCGTCGGTGGACTTCGCACCTTGCCTAACCTGCCCTGGCGCCGCGCTGGGGTCCTCAGGGCTCGGCCTCCTGCGTGCGGACGTTGGGGTTTGACTGCGACGTTGATGATGTGCTGTTCCCCGTGATATGGAAGATGACGCCGAGCTCTGGACTTGCGCACTGCTTCTCGTCGTGGCCCTTGCCCGCCCGATTTCGTGGGCCTCTCGGTGCGAAGCACCTCCTCCTCCTCCTCCTCCTCCTCCTCCTCCTCCTCCTCCTCCTCCTTATCCTGATCCTTATCCTTATCCTTATCCTCCTCCTCCTCCTCCTCCTTTTCTTGCGCTGGCTACGGGGGCGCCTGCTGCATGGCTGTGGCATCCTTGCCTGTCCCGCGGAGCCCCCGCGGGCCCTGACGTTCCAGGCGCTAGCAGCGCCCCCGTAGCCAGCGCAAGAAGAGGAGGAGGATAAGGAGGAGGAGGAGGAGGAGGAGGAAGAGGAGGAGGAGGAGGAGGAGGAGGAGGAGGAGGAGGAGGGAGGAGGAGGAGGGAGGAGGAGGAAGGAGGAGGAAGGAGGAGGAGGGAGGAGGAGGAGGAGGAGGAGGAGGAGAGGGAGGAGAGGAGGGGAGGAGGGGGAGGGGGAGGAGGAGGAGGAGGAGGAGGAGGAGGAGGGAGGAGGAGGAGGAGGAGGAGGAGGAGGAGGAGGAGGAGGAGGAGGAGGAGGAGGCGGAGAGCGCAGCCAGCACGGATGCGCCGAGGCCCTCGCGGACTTGGAGGCGTCGGCACATTGTGTGTGGGGGGGGATGTCCGCCTTGTCGTTTGCTGGCTTCCTGCTTCTTCCCCCCCTCCTCCTCGTCCTCCACCACTGTTTCTCTTCTTCCTCCTTCTCCTCCTCCTCCTCCTCCTGCCTCCTCCTCCGTAGGCATTTTGGCTCAAGCCATTTTGGCGCAAGGCGGCCGACTTCTCGAGTTCGGAGTTCGGGATGTCATGCAATAGTTTCGTGTTCTTGTCTCCCAGGCGCCATTTTTCTTTTCCATCATGGAAGATGTGTGTGGCAGTGTCTCTGCTCTGACAGGTCGCTCCCTGCGTTAGCTATCAGATTTGGAAGGCAAGCGCTACAGTGATGTTTCTGCGTCTGCCAATGACCATCGGCGTTTGTTAAGCAACTCGATGCCGAGGAGGTTTCGGCAAGTTGACACTGCATGTCAGTTCCTCTGGCGTTATCCTGCTACTTGGGAGTCCGACTTCTTGCGCGGGCTAGAGCAGGATATGTAATGAGCACATTCAGGATGAACTCCAGCTGCCTCTGTCTGTGCGCGTCGCTATCAGCAGACCAGGGTTAAGGTGGCTTCGCATCTCAATCCAGATGCCGTGGTGTCCACCCCGACTGGCAGCGGACTCGGCTACACGTTTCATTCTTGCTCCACACTTTCTCCAGTCGTCCACCATTGTGTATGACCAGCAGGGATCAGCCTATCGAGGGCTTGTTGAGGCCCAAAGCGCTTCTTCGGCTCGTCTGCAAGGCCTTGTTGACAATCTCGGAGACAGGATTAGCAGTTCGGACCAATCGGGTTGCTCTTCTTCCGCTGCTTCTCCGGCATCGCACGAGGCGGGCAGTGCGGCGGAGGCCGACCACCCCGGACCTGAGTATCCACATTGGCACACGGGAGGCCCAGGGTCAGTCTTTCCGTGCGGGTGTCACTTGTGATGAGCAGGTGGCTGATCTTGGGCAAAGGGCGCGCGACTATACTGAAGGGGCCCTGGGACACGCAACTAAATACGCACAAATAAGAGGATTCCCCATGTATTCCCATATTTTCGGGCTTTTTGTCTCCCCCCCCACTTCCCATATTTTCCCATATGTTCCGGGTAATCGACGATTAGTTGTGTCTATATGTTTTTTTCCTCCTGATATACGGATCATCGGTTTTGTTGTTATCTTATTTGTTTGATGAGAAGTTGAAGGTTCGTGTTTGTGAAGTTGTACAGCGGTTTCTTGGCATTACCAAGCAGGCGGTCGAGGCAAACATGCTGCCAGTGAACGGGTCTCTATCGTTTGCTCAAGACGCTTCCCTCTCACGGGCTGTGGAAGATCGCCTCATGTCCCTGATTGCGCTTGCCAAGCTGAGTGCAAATCGGAGTGAAGGCGTGGCCGAATCCCAGAACCTACATGTGCAGGAACATATCTTCACGCTCGACGAGCTGGCGGCCTCACTGCGGTCTCAGGCTGGCGCTGCATTCGAGCGACTCAGAGCCTTGGGGAGGGTATCGATTGCTCTCCGAGGTCGCCTGGGCACTCTGGTGCCCGCGCTTCGGGCTCTGCCTCGAGGTCCCAATCCCGACCTGCAGCCTCAGCCACACCATGTTGATATGGAGTTGTGGAAGTCGATTCATGGAGACGAAGCATGCTGCAAAATATTGTAGTGGCCTCCGGCCAGTGCCGCCGATCCGGGGCGCGCTTAATCCTCCTACTCCTCCTCGTTCTGCTTCTCCTTCTCCTCCCCCATCCTCTTCCTCCTCCTTCCCTTTCTCTTCGTGCCCTTCCCGCTGCTCCTCTCCCTCGTCGGTGGTCTCCTACATCTTTCTCATTTCCCCTTCTTCCTTTTCCCTTTCTCCTCGTCCTTTCTTTTCCTGCTACTCGTTGTTGCCAAAATTCGTTCCAAATTCGTTTGAAAAAGTATGATTCTTGTTATATTTCTTTTTCTGCTCTTCCCAATGGCGGTGGGGGCAGTCTTTCTTGTCCCCAAGCGCACCCCATCTACCTCCGAGCACAGAAACACGTGCGCTTCCGCTGTTGTCGGGAGCTGGCCAGTGCGCCCCTCCTCCTTCTTTTCCTAGTCTTCCTCTTTCTCCTTTCTCTTCATCTTTCTCCTCCTCTTCTTTCCTCTTCCTGCTCCCTCTCATCCTTTTCTCGCTTCCTCCTCCAGTTTTCCTGTTGGTTTCCTTCCGCACAATTTCCCTAGGGTGCGGACGAGGGAAGAGGAGGCCGACGACGACGACGACGACGACGACGAAAACGACCGCCATCGCAATAACTGCGACCACTGCGACCACGAGGACGACGACAAGGACGACGACGACGACGACGACAACGTACCCGCCAACGAGTGTCCGTCCGTAGGTCTCCGTCCACAGCTCTCCGCCCAGAGGTCTCCGCCCGCAGCTCTTGTGCTCTCTTGGGGGCATCCGGGGCGAAGCCGGAAGCCTTTGTGGCCCCTCTGGCCTCATGGCGCGGGCCGCCTGCGGCCGTCTGGGGCCACTTTGGGCCTCCAAGGGGCCCCCAGCGAGAGCGCCCCAGGAGAGCTCCAAGAGGGGCCCCATCGGGCCCAAGAGGGCTCCAAGAGGGCGCCAAGGGGGGCTTCAGATCGCTCCAAGAGAGCTCCCAGAGTCTCCCGAGAGAGCAGAGACTCGCGCTGTCGGAACCGACGTTTTGACAGCGCGAACCCCAGGAGAGCTCCAAGAGGTACCCCATCGGGCCCAAGAGGGCTCCAAGAGGGCGCCAAGGGGGGCTTCAGATCGCTCCAAGAGAGCTCCCAGAGTCTCCCGAGAGAGCAGAGACTCGCGCTGTCGAAACCGACGTTTTGACGGCGCGAACCCGGAGCTCCAGGAGGGCTCCAGGAGACCCCAGAAGAGCTCCAAGAGGTACCCTATCCGGCCTAAGAGGGCTCCAAAAGGGCGCCAAAGGGGGCGTCAGATCGCCATTAGTGGGCCTCGAGGGCCCTGAGAGAACAGAGGCTAGCACCAAGAGGGCTCCAAGAGGGCCCCGAGAAGGCAGAGGCTCGCGCTGTCAAAACCTGCGTTTTGACAGCGCGAGCCTCCTGGCGGTAGGAGCTCCAGGAGGGCTCCAGGAGAGCCCCTGGAGAGCTGCATGAGGACCCCCATTCGGCTCAGTAAGGCTCCCGGGTCCCGGGTCCCGGGTCCTGCGCCGGTCCCGGGTCCCGGGACCCGGGTCTGCTGGTCCCGGGTCGCTGCAGCTGGCCCCGCGCGCCCGGTCCTGTGTCCCACATCCCGGGTCCCAGATCCCACGCTCGTCCCGGTCCCGGATCTCCGTCCTGCAGGATCCCGGGTCCCGCGCTCATCCCGGCAGTTCCGTTGCTAATTCCAGGTCCCGGGCTCCCGGTCCCGCCCCGGTCCCCGGGTCCGCTGGTCCGCTGGTCCCGGGTCCCAGGTCCCTGGTCCCAGGTCCCGCGCTTGTCCCGGCCGCCCCGTCCCTGCATGGTCCCAGGTCCCGGGTCACGGTACCGGGTCCGCCGGTCCCGGGTCTGGGGTCTCGGGTCCCGGGTCCCACGCCGGTCGCGGGTTTCAGATCCCTGGTCCCGCGCTCGCCCCGGCAGTCTCGTCGCTGGTCCCGAGTCCCGCGACCCGGGTCCCGCGCCAGTCCCGGGTCCTGGGTCTTTGTCCTGGGTTCGGGATCCCGCGCCGGTGCCGGGTGGCAGGTCTCGGGTTTGCTGGTCCCGGGTGCGGGTCCCCGGTCCCGAGTCCTGGATCGCGGGTTCCGAGTCCCGCGCCGGTCCCGGGTTCCGGGTCCCGCCGGGTCCCGCGCGGGTCCCGGGTCCCGAGTTCCACGTCGGTCCCGAGTCCCAGATCCAGCGGCTGTCCCGGGTCCCAGGTTCCGCGATGGTCCCGGGGTCCCGTGCCGGTCCTGGGTCCCGAGTCCCGTGCTCGTCCCGGGTCCCGGGTCTCGCGCCGTTCCGGGTCCCGGGTCTCGCGCCGGTCCCGGGTCCCGGGTCCCGCGGGTCCCGCACCGGTCCCGGGTTCCGGGTGTTGGGTCCCGCGCCGGTCCCGCGTCCCGCGCCAGTCCCGGGTCCCGGGTACCGCGCCAGTACGTCCCGGGTCCCGGTCCCGCGCTGGTCCCGCGCGCCGGTCCTGGGTTCCGGGTCCCGCGCCGGTGCCGGGTCGCAGGTCCCGCGCCGGTCCCGGGTCCCGGGTCCCGCGCCGGTCCTGGGTCCCGGGTCCCGCGCTGGTGCCAGGTCCCTCCCGGGTCCCGCGCCGGTCCCGGATCGCGGGTCCCGGGTCTCGCGCCAGTTCCGCGGGTTCTGGGTCCCGCGCCGGTCCCGGGTCCCGGGTCCCGCGCCGGTTCCAGGTCCCGGGTCCTGCGCCGGTCCCGGGTGGCGGGTCCCGCGCCGGTCCTGGCGTCCCGGTCCCGTGTCCCGCGCCGGTCCCGGGTCCCGAGTTGAGTCCTGGGTCCCGCGCCGGTCCGGGGTCGCGGTTTCCGCGCCGCTCCCGAGTCCGGGACCTGGGTCCCGCGCTGGTCCCGGGTCTTGTGCCGGTCCCGGGTCCAGGGTCCCGCGCTCGTCCCGGGTTCCGGGTCCCGCGCCGGTCCCGCGGGTCCCGGCCGGGTGTCGCGCCGGTCCCGGGTCCCGGGTCCTGCGCTGGTCCCGGGTCCCGGGTCCCGCGCCGGACCGGGGTCCCGGGTCCCGCGCCGGTCCCGGGTCGCGGGTCCCGCGTCTCGCGCCGGTCCCGGGTCCCGGGTCCCCGGTCCCGCGCCCGGGTCCCGGGTCCGAGTCCTGGGACCGGTTCTGGTGCCCGCTCTTCGGGCTCTGCCTCGAGGTCCCAATCCCGACCTGCAGCCTCAGCCACACCATGTTGATAATTATGGAGTTGTGGAAGTCGATTCATGGAGACGAAGCATGCTGCAAGATATTTTCCAGATGTCTAAAAGATGTTTCAAATCTGTTTTAAGTCGGTTCAACACATGTTTAAAGCGTTTTTTTTTTTTTTTTTTGTTTTTTGTTTTTTTTGTTTTGATTTTTTCCTTGGTTTAATAAAAAAAATGTTTTACACATTTTAAACACAT